CTGGTGAAAATTTTTCTGCCTTTTTTTTTTTTTTTTTTTTTTTTTTTTTTTAAAACTTTTTTTTTTTTTTTTTTTTTTTTTTTTTTTTCAAAACAGCTTCTTTGGAAACATTTCTTTGCACCATTTTGACCCATTGGAAAGAAGGTCTAAGTATACAACATTTTGGAAAAAGCAGTTGTAAAGGGCACAAAAAATTTATAATATACTGAAGACTTCCCAGGCATCAGGGAAAGGAGAAAAAGAAAAGAAGAAATTCTATTCCTTCCAAATAAAATTTAGTATTGAAACATAGCATTTTAGAATGACTCAAAGCAAAGAATATTCTATATGAGATGAGACTGAGGGACGCACACGAACTTTAGAAAAAGAATAATTAAATCTTAGGCCTACAATATCACAGCAGACTATGTTCTGAGGACGGATGCCTAATGACTGCTAGTTATTGTTATAATTAATTAGATATATTGCTTTAAATGGGTTTTAGGTCTCAAAGACAGTAAGGACTTGTATGATATTTACAAAAATTAAGTCTAAACTTGAAAAATGCCATATAAATTGCAATTTTTCTGTGTTCATTCTTAAAAAATAATTTCAATGTAAATTTTGGCTGTTCAGAATAAACCAGATTTTTTTGTTCTAATCAGATAACCATATCCTTAGTCATGGACTCAGGGTTACAGTGGTTGCCCACATGAGTGTGAGGCACCAGCATGCTCTTGGTGCACATGAAGCATGCCAGGTACTTGGGCTATATTACACCAGTGTGTCAAGTGTGGAGTTTTGTCCCATGCTCACTCTGTTCATCACTAGCAGGGCTGTAGCTGAAGCACTGGATGCAGGTTTGAGTTGTCCGTGAAAGATAAGGAGAAACTGGCAAACATCCAGAGGAAAGATGCCTAGAGCATATGCCTAAGGAAGAGAATTTGAGACACCAGGGATTGTTTAAGCTGATGGTTTAAGCTTTTGAAAAGGAGTTTAAGGCATTATCCTATACCTGTTGTACAACCTGCAGTGATGTTAAAAAGGTGTCAGAGGCATATTTTTCTTGATAGGGTGAAGTTTTCTGAAGGGAAAATGTCTAAACATAGCAGTTTGTGGGCTTCAGATAACACACTGTGATGGGGGTGGAGAAAGTTTGTAAACCTTTTGCTGGAGTCCTTATAGATGGTTGAATAGTCCTTATAGATGGTTGAATATTAATTATTGAGGGTTATTGGCTAGATGAAGCTATAGATAAACTTATTCAGCATTGCAAATACTCCTCTTTGAGAGGAGATTCACAATGGGGACCTTCAGAGGTTCCAGTCTATGGGTAATGTTATTCTACAGGCAGCTGTGAACTGTCTTGTGTCCAAGGCAATGACACAGAGTTTAATCCCTTGAGCAGTTCCAGAAGGAGTGAATCAGAAATCAGTAAACTGAGAGTGGTGGATTACATCAGCCTGACATGCCATAGGTTCCTTCCTGCCATGGAACAATGTAAGGAAAGCATCAGAGATGGAAACATGATTGCCCTCCAATTTTTCAATCTCCCTTTCAAGCTGGGGCATTTTATTACATTAAAAATATCTATACCCTTATCCTGAGAATCTTCTGCTCATTAATGCAATATTTTTAAATAGTATGGACTCCATATTTCAATGTAAAAACTTTTACATGAACCATTGAGTTAACCATGTAATGCTATACAAATAAACTCTATGGCAGAGATAGTTACAAAGATATCTTTCCTTCCTTCCAGTGTGTGTCTTCAAGTGATCTCTGTGCCTTGAAAATTCTGCAAAAGATCCAGGACCCAAATATTTGTTTGAATAGGAAACCAGAAACATTTATGATCAAATTACTTTGAATATTTCCTTTTGATCTTGAAACACTTTCAGAAAAGTTTTTACTTTCAACATGTCATGCTACAAAATGATGCACTTTGAAACTCCAGGACTTTGAGACAACTTGAGGCTCACTTCAAGAGATGGTTGTTGGGCTGTGTTAAAATTGTCTTCCTTTGTGAAAATAAGAGAAACCTGTGCTGAGCATTAAAGTATCAAATTAACCTCTAGGTAATTGCACAACAGAGTGACTCTGTGCTGAACCTGCAAGTTCAGGGCCTCAAATGTCACCCTCTGCTTTTCTGAAAAGCATTTCTTAGTTCCGGAGTATTTGCTGAGAACAAAATAAGAGCAATACAAGTGGTAAAACCTAAAAAGGTAATGGAAAACAGAATAATTGATAAAATATTTTCCCTAGTGTTCTTAAGAGGCATAATTGGAGATTCTTCTTCTTTTTGGTTCTTCCTATTATTATTCCTGTTTTTATTCTTATTTTATAGTACACCGATTCAAGAAATTGGTTACTGCTGAATGACTGATAATGATGCCATATTAGGAATAAAAAAAGCTGAGACTTTCAGAATTATCTGACATATTTAAGGACCCAACTGAGTCTTAAATTTTATAAAAGAGACTGCCACTGTTCTAACCTATTTGAAGGGGATACGATTTTCTGTGTCTTTAATATGTGAGAACAAGTTTAAAGCTTCCCTTTATGAACTGTATGTGACCCTAAATATCCAGTAGAGCTATCACTGCACTGGAGAAAAACAAAATTAAAGCAAAGGAAATTAGATAAGAAGAACTGACAAGGCTAGCATGTAAAACTCAGGAAGGCTTAAAAATAAGAACAAAATCTACTTTCAGCACTATTGTTGAGGGGCAGTCTATGAAAGAAAAAGTTATCAATTGTTTACGAGTTCCTAAATCTTTCTGTTTGCTAGAGCAGACTCTTTTTTTTTAGTGATTAATAAAAAATTGCACCTTTTCCTGGTTCTCTTACAAAGAAAATGGTGATGCTGTCAGTGTTTTCCCCCACTCCATATGCTTGCAAACAGTATGGTAAATAAAGACATACATGCAAGGCTGCACAGACTCCCATTTGGATAAAAATCCCTTGGCAGCAGTGCCCTGTCATGCACAGGATGAAGGATCTACATTGCTCTGCTATAAATAAGGGTAAAGAAAAGCATCAGAAATTGGCCATCTGTTTGGCTGACCCAACAAAGCAGGTGGTCTTTCTCATCCATATGGTCAACTTCCTAATAACTAGAGTGTGGGCAAGACTCAGTCACCCTCTTTTAAAGCAAAGAAAAACAAAATATTGGAGAAACATTCTGGATGCCACTGAACCAAGATGTACAAATCTTATTGGCAGACTTCTTTTTGAACAATTTTTTCACATTTCTATTTTGAGGAAATGTTGTGATATCCAAGTATCTTTGTGTTTATAAGAGAGAGAGGGAGCAAGTGGTTAAATGGTGAAGAGTCTTTGTCACAGAGGAAAGTGAAAAGGGGGATACTTATTTCTGTGTGTGGGGTGTACTGCAGAAAGAAACCAGAGAAGAAATATTCTTCATTTTTTTATATGTTTGAAGAAGTCAGGTAAGTATTTGACTTGAACCACCTAAGTCTGTAATTTCATCCATCAGTCACTTTTTAAAAGATAAGCCTCTTGACCAAATCTGAATTTAGTTAAATCTCTCTCAAGAGATTTCTTTTTTAAGATAAGATTTTCCCACCAAAATGTTGTGCTGTAAACTGTAAAAGCTCCCACTTTTCTTTTAAAGGCCTTCAAAATTATTGTTTATGCCACAATTTTATGTATTTTCACATGCCATTTTCAAATGTGCCTTTTTGCTGCTGGTCAAACTAGGATTAGATTACACTATCTACATCTGCTAAGGAAGGTCCCAGGCATACACCCACTGCTTATGATGCACACATTTAGTGCATGTCTACATAATGCTCTCTGAGACAAAACAATGTAACTGTGATGTCCTTAAAGCAATAAACCTGTAGTGACTGGAGTTCACGCGGTGCTGTTGAAGGCTGCAAGTGACACAACATTTTAATTTAAGCACAGATTATATTCATCATACAGAAAACTATATCAAGCATGAGGAACGTGCTAGTGTATGTTGATCCAACTAGGCCTGCCTGTAATTCCTTGTTATCTGATGTCTGAGAGCTAAATGCTTTTCCTAGTCTCATTCCAGTTTCACATGCCTATGTCATCAAAATGTTCACCTTTCCTCAAAATTGCATGTTTAAAGAGAGTTATTAGCAGAAAGGCTGCATATGATCACTTTTGAAAAACTAAATCTGTTTTCATTCCTAAAGAAATCTTATGGAGGTACAGCATTGACGTTTGTTTGTGAGACCAAAAATAGAACTGAAATTGAGTCCCCATCTCAAAGCATCTGTACACTACATCAAGCATCAAGGGGGGTATATTACAAAAATATTAATACTAGTATTGAGATATCATATTTTATTTTATTCATGCAGAAATGCTTACTTAGGCAACTATTTTTTTCTTTTAGGTAAGAAAGTGGTACATGAAAAGAAAAATATAACTTTGAGGGAAAAACTGGAGTTTCAGTCTGGTGATGTGATATCATCAGGGTTGCAAAAGATGAAGTGGAAGGAGCACCTAAGTTCATATCTCAGCTTCTGGCTTTGGCTAATTACAGCTGCTTAGGAGAAACTAATAAACACAGTATAAAGGTATAGCAGCATTTTTACTGAACCCTCTCACTGCCTATAAATATCAGTGTCTCTTCAACCTGCAAAACATTTTTAATAAAAAACTCTTCCTTATGTAGTGTCACCCTTTTCTTTAACTGTACTAATTTCACCTTATTCTTTACTAAATGATGGAGAACCTAATTGTACAAAGTTCAAAGGAAGACAGGCTACCAAAGACCTGAGTGGAATCTGAAACTTAGCAAATACTGCATGAAACTTAGCAGAAAGAAATCCAGTTATTTGTGTTGTGCACTCTAAAACCCATTGCACTCTAAAATAAAATTTTGTCTTTTTTCATTATTTGCTTTCCTTAGACCATGGTCACCATAGACAGTATAAACAATCCGCTAAATATGCAGAATTATTGCTTCTTTATACTAAGTGGTTTTGCAATTATAAAGCAGTACAAGCAACGTTACTCACTTGTATTTATCTTCTGAAGTGAAATGTGCTTTTCCAGGTGTCTACGAAGCTTTACCTCTGCTCCATATTTGCCAGTAGTACCGTTGTCAGCCAAAATAAAATGAGAATGCATGCTGTTGAGCACAGTCAGCTTGCTCATGGGATTAGACATTGTCTGGTATGGTCGAACCACCTGCATTTTAGACACAGAGGAAAAAGAAGGCACACTTAACAGAAAAAGCCTCTGAACTAAATCAATTACAAGATTATGAGCTGACAAGATGAAACAAAATAAAAAAATCAAAATTAAATACTGCACTTGAGTATTATTGTCTATTATGTTTAAAGTAGAAAATTACCTTAATACTGCCTTTTCAGATGCAGACATGGCTTGAAGGGTTTTCCATGTTAATCTGTTTCAATAGTATCAATGTTCACTGGCTCAACAGTGACAGTTCACTGCTTCTTTTAAAATCTGGCTAATGGTCAGTGCTCCAAAGATCTGGGTGACCACACACACACACAACTGTATACCCTGCCTGGAGCTGACTATCTAGATGGTTGGTATAAAATCTCAACTTCATCTGACCAAACTCTTTGGTTTGATTTAATTTAATGCTGGGTGGGCTCTTTTCAGACCCACCCAGCATCATGCCTCCAGTGTTGGCTCACGCAGAAACACCAGCACTGGAGATACACAAGTACAGGTGAGTTCCACTCTTGGAGAGGTGTACACATGATATTACACCACATTTTCAATTTTCTTGGAAAAACAATTGGCCCACTCCTCGGATCAGTAAAAGGGCAGCTATGTTCACAACTTTAGAAATTTTTTGTACAATGGGGAGTTTTCTTCACTTCCTTTGATTTTATTTCATCAGGAGAAATTGTGCAGCAGACTGTAAAATGCCACAGAATTACCCCACTCACAGCAACCAGACAGACCAAATAATAGCATGAAGCCATGCTGTCAGCTGCTTTGGTGGGTGTCTACTGACATAAGTAAGACTGTACTAACACAGCAAAAGAATTGTTGTTGTGTCAAGGCATCCTGACTGATACTTCAAAGGTTTTCTAGCAATACTATTCCTTGCTTTTCTTACATACGTCTTGTCTTTTTGGAGACAAAAACCAGAAAATCTGTAAAATTAAGTCCTAGCTGAAGAAATGCTGCAATGACTTGTTTGAAAACTCAGCTGGGCTATCCTTCATTTGCAAAGAATTTTCTTCGGTGTTTTGACATCATTAATTTTTCAGGTCTTGTACTTTTGATGCACAAATATGTATACTCAAAATTTGACATAGATGCTTGCAGACAGAAATATAATAATTTATTGATTTATTCCTAAGCTTTTCTCCCTCTGTAATTCTAAAGAGGTCTCTAATTGAGACATAATTCTTTAGAGATAATATGTGTTATCAATTTTTTAGCCAGAGATGTCTCTATATACATTATTTTCACTTGTGCGTGTCTGCCTAACTTTGGTCAATTCTTAGCCAGCAAAGAGAAATACACAAACTTCTTTTGCTGTTGTAAACTGCCATGCAAAGGGTACTCTGTAAGCTCTTTATCCTGTAAAAGGAGGGAATAGGTCTGAGAAGACCTAGAGGGCAGCTGGCCAACAGCAAGGGAAGTGCACTACACTCTGTGAGAACAGGTGATAGCTCTGGCTTAGATTTTTTCAATGCTGTTTCTTTTAGTGCCTCATTCATAGCAATTTATTCTACAGCTGCATATGACTTAACAAATATCAGTACACTGCTGGAATGTATTTAATAGCTATCTTCTACAGATACAGAAACCATGTAGCCCATAGCACCGGCAAGGCCTTACAGAAGAGGAATTCCTTGAGTTACCCGTTGATTGTGTGAGTACAGGCCACTGTGCAGACAATTCTACTGACAGATTGTGGTTTGTTCCTGAGAGCCACAGCTCAAAACCTTCTAACTGCGACAGCTTGATCTGCAGCTCTAATGAGTTGCAGTACTGAAGCCTTCATATTTTGACTCAGTAATGCTGCTGCAGGACAGATTAAAAAACTATGCTTCTGTTCTGTGTTTAGCTACAGAATTACAGTATTAAGAAATTTAATGGATGTGAAAATGAGACTACAATTATTTTCAATTGAAATGTTCACAGCATGCACAATTCAATGTCTGAATTCTTTTTTTTGACAATAAAATTTCTCAAACCACACTGTGAAGACTCTTCCTGAGAAAAGGATAACCAAAATCTTCAGGAAGGTAAGAACATACTAGGCTTTGAGGCTACTTCCTTGAGGTTACCTGCTCTTTGACAACACTCAGCAGATTTGTCCTTTCTGACTCTTGTAGTTTCCATTCCTCTGTTCTTTTCAACACCTTGCATTTTACAAGCAAGTTAAATGGTTGGAAAAATACAATGACTTTAAACTGTCTTCTCATCCTCCTTTTACAGATATACAATCACATGACAGTTTGGGCTGGAAGTGACCTTAAAGATTACTCAGATGACCTTAAAGACTGCTCACCATGGACAGGGACACTTTCCCTAGACTAGATTGCTTAAAGTCCCATCCAACCTTGCAATGAGAACAGGGAGAATAGAGAGACTAGGGAATAATGTCCCTTGACATCTTCCTCTGCAGAGCTGAAAGGAATAATCTGTGCTCAAGACAGTCCCTCCAAATACAGTTTAATGAATGCAACAGCAACTATGCTGTGAAGCAGTACTCATGCTGCATGAGCTGAAGGAATTCTGTCAATAGGTGAGTGGCTGGGCTGACCCCAGCCCTTGCCTTTGCACCCTGAGGTGGCAGTGAGCTTGAATGAGAAGCATTGTTGCTCTCCTTAGATTTGCTGTAGGCACATGACACTCAACATAGAGACCTGAAAAATCTCTCAGGATAACTCACCATGACAACAAGCCTGCAAGTGCCATGTGAACCAGTGCGTGAATCTGAGCAGTCTATGCGGAGGCAAAGAGTTTGTGATAAACAGTGAGCTCAAAGTAGTGATGGAAAAAGAAAGAGATGCATGCTTTGCTTCTCAAGGAGTAGCAGCTGTTGTTCAAGCCATTTCTGCAGCCTTGTTTCTCTGGAGCATACCAGGGAACAGAGTAGATCCTGATTTAATTCAGAGGCTCCTGGACCTTTTGGTTCATGGTCCAAATTATCCACATATGCTACAAATATGTCAGTCCATATCTTTGCCCCAGTCTCCTATTGAGGTGACTTGGAATTAAACCAAAATGAGGACTGAACAGACCCTGAAAGTAAAGACATGCATGCTACAATGACTTACAAAGTGTGCTCTTTTAGAAGAGAGAATGGTTCTGTCTGTAGGAAGAAACTTGTTTATAATCACAGTTTTCTACAAGACTGAGCAAGCCACTTTACTTTCTCAGTTCTATCAGAAAATATGGGGAAATAAGGCAACTAACTCCCTTGTGTCCTTTATTTCTAAATTAGAATCTGAGAGTGTTACGAATTGCACTATTTTCTGCTATATTGCTTTTACAGAACTGGAATAAGTCTTTAGGGATCTTTAATCGTCACAATATAACAAATAGCAAAGAGTAGTAATATTTCCTTTAACTTGGTCAGTTTTCTTTATGGCTCTGATGAAGTCCCACAGGATTCCCAAAGGCTGACTGAATTGGAAGGTCTAGTAAATAAAAAAGCCCTTAGCTATGGCTTCTGGATCCATAAGGCTGAGGCATTAGCAGAAAAACACCTCTGCTGAGCATGCCTCCCTTGCCATGAGGCACAGGGAGGCCACATGCACTGGGGCACATGCAATGACCACAGCTCCCTCTCTACACCCCCTGCCCCTCCGACACCCATGACTACAACAGTCTTCTGCCTCTCTCTGATGCTGAAAGGGTATGTTTTTATAACTTTTCAGTTCTGATAATAATTTAACTAGACATAATGCATATAGGCATAAACCCACATTGATGCTAGAGTTTACCAAATCTTTTACTACTGGTTGACTTTTTCCTCCCCTTGTATAATTCTTTGTGGCCTTTGTTTCTTGCTTAATGATGATTCCTTTTACATGCTTATGGTACTATTTACATTTCCCCTTCTCGGTTCATTTCACAGCATTCACCTCTAATAAGTCAGTCAATATAGAACACTTTGATTTTTAAAAAGCTTCCAAAACAGCTTCCTCACCAAATGCTTCTAAAGAAACTGCATGCATTGAATAAGAGAGAAAGTCCTTTGAGGCATGAGTAACTGAGGAAAGCTGGGGGGAAGTGTGGGAAAATAGTGAGAAGGAAAAAGTAATTTTGTGAAGGCTCTTACTAAGAAGATTTAATGACATAAGTGGCCTACCTCAAGCTGTGTTACACTCCGTTCAACATAGGTGTAAAGGATTTGTGATTAATTAGAGGGTAAAAATCTTCCAAATATTTCAGTGGACTAAAGTTTCATAAAACAGCCTGATGAGGTAGTTAAATGGAAGATGAAATTTGATATAAGTAAGCATAAAGCAGTATCATTAGATGTACATCAGAGATGGATAAAACCAGAAGTGCTTCAGCATTACATCATGCCATTGATCAATAATTTTATAAAATTATTTGGGGCCAGGAGGTTGAGAGGATAAATTTTATGTTGACTATCAAAGGTGTATTTTTAAATATTTTTGTCCTTAGTGATGACTCTGTAATTGTAACCCTACTGACATAATTGTGTCTGCCTTAATAAAAGACCCTACCCAAGTTAGTTGCAACTTTATATTAAATGTTTTTCATTTTGTATCTGATGATCAGAGTAAGTATTAAGTCTTTTATGATTTAATCAGAAAGGTGTTTTTTTTCTAATAGTTTATTTTAAAATAAAATTATTGTAAACTTCTTGGTTTCCTGTTAAATTGTAAGGATATTTAGAGGAAAGTACTGCTAAAAGAAATCAGAAGTCAGGGGAGAAGCTCCACTTGGTTGGAACACCTGGGAAATCAAGAAATTTTTTAGCTTTTTCTTAAAAAGAAGGCTTCAGATCCCCTTAAACAGGCAGTGACTCAGAACTGAGGTAGCTTTGCAACAGGAGGAAAAAAGTAATAAAGGAATAGGAATGTTTGAAAATTCATGGCTAATTTTATGGTTTTCTTAACTTTGTTCCTTCTATGTTTCCAGAACCCCATGACTAATCACTACAGACTATATATTTAAAAATGATGTGTACATTACACTTTAAGAACATGCAACACATCCTTGTGCTTAGCTTTTTCTGCTAATTACCTTCTTCACAGCACCTCAGAAGACTTCATTGGTGTCTCAGAATTACTGTGGCTAAGTCTGATCATGCTTGTTTGTGTGGTATGAGTACAAGACTCCATGTTAATACAGTTCCCCCTAACAGCTGTACTTTCATAGTGAATTGCAATAAACTCCAGTCAGATAATTTTCTTTATAATCATTGTAACTTCTCTGACATAAGAAATACTTGAATCCTTTTCCCCTTCACAAATTGATTATGGATACAGAACATACAGAGAAGAATGGGTTAGGCTAATGATGATAAGGAAGGAAGAAGTTCTTTATGCAGATTGAAAACTGTATTCTTCCACTCATAATTAGTCACTGCTTCTCAGACAGATTTCTTAGGAATGAACCAGAAGTGAGGAAAAAAGGGTTCAAAAAACCTTAAGGTAAAAAATAACCAGTGCAGACAAACTATTCATGTGTTTAAAATTAAGGAATTAATCTTACTGTATTAGAGTTGTAAAAGAGAGGTATGGTGTGAAAGAATATGAGAAACACCAGCCCTATCCTTCAGAAGGTGACTGAAGGTGAATTACTTGAGCTCACTCTTATCTACAGTACCCAATAAGACCTTTCAAAATGGCATCAATAAAAATTTATGGGAGGGAATATATTCTAAGGAAGATAGCCTGAAATTTAGAATTTAACCAAGGCATTATAGTCTCGCTTGAAAATAAATCAGATTTCAAGTTTTGCAATCAGTATTTTATTAAGCACCTTTCTGGGTTCATAGAGTTCTAAGGATGAAGCTTTGATATATTTTCAAGAATAGCTTTTAATGAATTGCCATTATAATTTATTTTGAAATAATATACAGTGCAGGAATTTTTATTACTGATGTGTCAAAACCTGCTATCAACCCTAATGGAAAACCTGTGTATATATTGAGTTTTAGCTGCAGACAATTCTAAGAGGAATTGCTAAGTGGATGGAGACAACAGGAAAAATAACTGGAATATTTATAGACACTGAAGGTCATCTATGTCTATATAGGTCTTACATCTTTGCCAATCAGGTCCTCTTGATTTTCCACAATCCCCCAGGGCGCTATACCGATGGTGCAGATCTTCCCTCGAGATTTTGAGGCATGATCTTTCAGGGCATCTCCAACATGCCGAATGACCCCTAGCAAAGAAACAGCATAAAACAGAAATTCATAATTGTGTCTTTTTTGTTCATTATCATATGGATTTAGTATAGACTTGTCTTTTTAGAGAATACCTGTTCCTATTCTTACAATTAATAAAGCTATGAATACGTTCTTATTTCCTATTATTAATTTCTGTGAATCCATTTTATTGAATCCAAAAATTACTAAATGAAGTAATAAGGAAAAAATACACAGCTTTAGAAAGAATGGAAATGCTGACAGCTGACTGTCGCTTATTTATCTGCACTTGTGCTCACATGTGCATGCAAGAATTTGTGTATTTCCAAGCACAGAAAGAAGCATAGGAATTAATTTTGCTCCCCGCCCCCCACCTCCCAGCTTGCTCAGAAATGCAGCTCGTACACAAATGCTCCCAATCAAGGATGGAAATGTGAAAACATCATTATGCTACTCTTTGATGAAGCTATGTTGCCACTCTTTCCAAGCAAACTCAGTCACCTGAGATAGCTTCCTGCAGAGTATTAGTACCTGCTCTGGGAATCAGTGAGAGAACAGAAACTAGTACAGAAAAGATGGCTGCTTCCCAGCATTCTTCCAATGGCTGCTTGCTTGCCCTAGACCAGCTTAAGCAGTGTTTCAGTGGTAACTCTGTGCAAAGGAAAAGTGTAATTTCTCCTTCTTTTAATAAAATAATCTTTTAAAATCTGTCTATTAATAACTACTTTTAAGATGTGGCTGCACTGGAACAGACTGGTTTTCTGCAGATGTTATCTGATTCTAAATTTCCATATTGTTCAAATTTCACGATTTCAAGATGACTGGATAGAAATCACAGTCATGCAATTGTTAGGATTTTGATTTTAGCTTTCTGAACTGTAAATGACGCAGGGTAAGAAAACTCCCCGCAAGCTAACAGATCCTCTATGTCCTTGAGTCTAGTATTCTTCCTGTGGTGGAAGGTAAAAAACCCCAACCCTGTACCTACCACCAGCTATGAAATAAACTGTTGGGCCTAGTTTTAGGCTGTTGGAACAGCCTAAAGGATTTAAAGCAGAAAATCTGTCCAGACTGCAAAAAAATTTCTTGTTTAGAATAATCAGCTTTCAGCATGAAAGAATATTCAGAAAAACAGTCATGTTAATAGTCAGGTATGCTCTGTCTCTCCCACATCACTGATTCTCAGTCCAACAGCAATATTTCAGGACATTTCAGTTATAATTTTCCTTAAGAAAAACCCAATTTTAAAATTTATTTTCAACAAAAGAAACTGTACTAAGAAATTCTCAACTTTTATGATACACGAATAATTTTCAACTATGAAGTTTGAGAACCTAGTCCTTGAGCAATCAACTGCTTTTCTCCAGAAATTAAAGATTGAAATGAGAGATTACTGATATTGCAAAATTGCTTTTCAAATTGTTTGTATTTAAAAGAGCAGAAAGCCACTTGAACTACACTGCACTGTCTAGGAAAAACAGTCCATTTCAACAGCATTTATGATGACTTTCTGGGTTTGTTTGTATTGTTTTGGCATTTGCAAAAATGAGGATTTGAAAAATGGTAGGAAACAGTTGTGCATTTGCCAAGTACAAGTGTTATCTTCTGTCCTTTTTTAAAAAAAATGTGTATTTTGATTTCTATAGTTGCTCTGGTAATCCACTGCATTAAGTGTACAATATGTTCATTGTTCTGATCTAATTTTAACTTAAAACTTATATCTGTCTTTGCCATCATCATGACAAGAGTATCTGACAACTAATATTATTACCACCATAGTGCACAGATCAACATTAACCTGATTTTATTCCTTATTTTGAAGAGATGTGAGTCATATTACATTTGTGTCTATTATCTAACACTCCAAAAGCTATGCCTCTTTGCTTTCTTCAGGCACCAATGCTGCCAGAGTTCAAAAAGTCTTTGGACAACCCTCACAGACACGTATTGTGATTCCTGGGGCCATCCTGTGCAGGGCCAGGAGCTGGACTCCTTGATCCCTTTGAGTTGCTTCCAACTCAACATATCCTATGATTCTGTGCTACTTGTATCACTGTTGTGATAAAACTGAGTACTGTTTTAAATTTGATGTGCTTTGAAAACGAAGTCCAAGACTCCTATTAAGCATTTCTATTCAAACATGTAGGAGTTGATCCACCATGCACTAAAATTAACACATGATAGAATGATTACATTGTTTTCCAGAGACAGTAAGAAGACACACTCTAACTAAGGTAAAAAATTATAGCTTTGTTACTTCAGCAAATGAGAATGACATAAGAATTTACAAGTTCATGGCCTAGATCAAAACTTTTGCAATTCTCTGTAGAAGAACTTTTTTGATTTTCCCCTGAATCTCTCCCCCTTTCTGCCTCCTTCAGAGATGGTAACTGAGATGTCAATGTCAAAATTTTCTATCTAGGGACCTACATTTTGCAGCTTATTCCTGAAGTGTATATGCTGTCTGCTAGCAGAGCTGGGCCAGATGCTGTCTTGGGTCCCTAGGACACCTTTTGGTGTATCACAGATGCCCTTTGACTAGAAATGGCAGAAGTTGCTCTAGATGAAAATGTAATAGCAAAAAATTAGGTTGAGCTGTCTATAAGCAAGGAAGAAGTTTGCCACCACATCCAAAACTGAGAACTTTTTCCCTTTAATACTTTGCGTGACTTAATTAAATAAATGTCCTTGCTGGATGAAAGGGTTTTCAGTTTTGTGTAAAAAAAGTTGGACTTCTTTGACTAGTAGACCATCCCTGCAGCTTACAGCTGATCTTGTAAAGTTTTCCTTAGTGATATAGTAATACAATTGCCTTGCAGGAGGTTTTATTTTCAGCTCCAAAGTGTGCTTTTCATACTTCAGCAAACCTTTTATTCCATTTTATACCAGCGGCCAGGTTGGTGTGAACTTCACATTTTCTTGCTTTCACATAGTACAGAAATGACTAATAAAACAAAACATGGAATAGCTTTCTAATCTCATAATTCCTACTTTTTCCCCCTTTTTTTGTGATGAAGTCTCCTAGATGCTACTGGATTTTATTTCAATGTTGCTCTTACCTGTGTTTACTCCTCCAGTGAATATCCATGCTCCAGTTGTCATTGCAGCCTTAATAAGTCCTTTTCCAAAGACTTGTTTGAGTTTTGGCTGAAGTTCAAAATTCTGGAGGCCCCCGTGCACAGAGATGAGAAGTTTGGGGAGCTCAAGTTGCCACTCTTTGGTCATCAGATGCAGAAGAAGGTCAGGCTTTGTGTCAAAAGACACACGTACATACTGCAGAAACAAGGGCAATAGGAGAGAGTAGACAAAAAAACATTGTTTATGCCTACTGGTTTCTAATGTATATTATCTGTGCCCAATAGATCACTTTTTTAATGACAAAACCAGTAACTATTTGCTAACCAGATGATTAGTTTCCTAGTTGAGAAACTAGGAATAATGGAACTCTTGCACTTCACAGGCTGGACAGTTTTCTTTATTTAGGAAATTAAGAAATGAATTGTTTCAAAATCATAAGCAATGCTTAAGAGATTAATGTCTACAATTTATAAATGCAAAAACTGGACCAAAAATGTAAGAGGTCTGCCAAAGTTGACCTAGGTAGTCAGGGTCACAACTGTGTATTTACTTGTACCTCATTTTCAAATTATCTAAGTCAAACTCTCAAAATGTAAGAAATAGCAGATAAAAACTCAGTTCTTCAAGCATACATAGGTTTAAACTGAGCAAAACAACTAAACAGATACTTTCCAGATGAAAGAGTACTAAAGAATTTGTACAGGTTGATGATCTCGCCTTAGAAAACTCTAGATCCTAAAAGGGCTGTGAAACAAATTCATGCATTTCCAGTTGCTGGCCATTCTGTGCTACACATGCAGCAATTTGTGCCAGGGGAGATCATAGACATCTGTGTGTACTCAAAGATAATCACTGTATTCAAAATTTTTACAGCATTACCATGTCACAAGAATACCTCTCTCTCTCCGTTACAAGTCTTTCTCCTGCTCTTTCTGTTGCTGTTTGAAAAAACCTGTGACAGTGCATGTAATAATTTTTATATTTCATGGCAGAAACAGGAAAAAATTATTTCTATTGCTGCTAAGATCTGGAAGGATCCTCTTAATAAAATAAAATAGGTTGCAGAAAGCACTTGTCCGTCAAACTTCTGATTGAATCAGTATCTGTAGAGCTGCTCCAGCAGCCTTTCTCTTGATGGGTTGTCAGCACAGACATCAGGTGTATACCTTTGCCTTCAACCTGAGGAATAACTAGTCCTAATGTGTTTACTGTAACATGCCAAGTAGTATAATATCCATACATATTATGTAATCCTTTTGCCACTTTTTGACATGCCTAACCAGTATTTCTTGCCAAAAGTTTGCTATTTTTTACCAATACCATATGATAATAAAGTGGATTAATTTCTAGTTGAATAAAAAATAAGGACATGACATTTTCCAGAGGAAACTGCTAATAAACAGAATTTTTTGTGCAAGAATGGGTTGTTGCACAGTAAACATCTACTGTTAACATTTCTGGAAGCAGAAGACTGTTTGCACAATCAGTTGAGTGGGGCACAACCAAACCAAAAGCTGAGCAAGAACTTGGGAATGCATGTTCACCCCAGTGCATCAGTAATTCTCTCTGAAGCAACCAGGCAAATTCACAACAGCTACTGGACATAAATAACACAGTTTTCATGCCTGTCAAGCTTATTAATATAGATGAATTGTCTCCTCAGTAGCTACTCAGTCAATTTTCAGTGTGAGTTAAAGTCTTGTATAGCACCTGATCCCACTGACTAGATTGAGACATTAAAAGTTTTTAAATTGGGATTTGAGGGTTGTCAAATTTTTAGGACATCAGAGGGATATAAAAAGAATGATAATTTTTCCCTCTCTCATGTCTTAAGGGAGATCTGAGGCTGCAAAGAGCACCTGGAGGCATTCACAGACAACATTCTTCATAGGGCCTACATGAAAACTCTGCTGTGAAACTATGGAGTCTTTGGTTTGGAATCACTGGTACCTTACTTTGCTTTTTGGTGAAGACAGACTGCAAGTCTTCAGAAGATAATTAAGATGAATTCATACTGAATTCATACTGATAATTAAGGTGAATTCATACTGAAATAATTATTTCATAATTAAGGTGAATTCATACTGACAATGATGTGGTAGATAGGGACAGGTGAACAGAAGATTTCAGGATGTGACAGAAAGCAAGACCCTTCCCCCTCATCCTGTGATATGTGATCCATTACCCCCAAGACACGTAACCCCTCCTAACCCAGTAGTTTTCCACTCCTTACTAACCTAGAAACCCTACCTTCTTCCTTTGATGTAGCAAAGTCCCCCTTGACTATTTAACCTCACGAGATAAGGTAATAAACGCCATTTGACCATCCACCACATTGATGTCCGTGTACGTCTGTGGTCCGAGTGGCCCGGACAAGGCCAGGCTGCCGTGCTGTCCCTTGAAACCAGGTCGCCTTGCCTTCTCATCTGAAGGCAACACAATGACCATACAAATATGTTGAAAACATGCCATTGCATCATCTGGGATGATCCTAAGATGAAGGCACAAATGGCATCAGATGTGTATTACCTAATCTGGACAGTGACTTCTTTTTTCTTTATTTTCTATTCTTTAGATTTTTAAAAAAATATCTCAGAATGTGTGATTCCACTGTCCCTACCTTCTTAAGTCTATGTATTTCTCTTCTTATACACATGGACCTCTGAATTCCAATAAATATAAAACTATTAAGTGATTAAGAGAGAAGTATTCTCTTGCGTTTATTTAAAATATAGACAATTTTATTGGAAATAATTGCTCCTTTTTTATACTGCAGGAAAACCACCTTTATACTTAGTATAATTCTATTTTACAAAATGGAAATTTAAGGAAAAATAAATATCAAAGTTTCTTTCATGTAAATTAAAATTTAAATCAAGTAAGATAAGATTAAGTGGTTTAGAAATTTTTGGCAAGGATGCCAAACATGAATTTTCTTTTGTGCATACCATTCAATTTTTATGATTATTTCCATAATTTTTGCTCTTACAGAAGCAATTTTTAGTTTGCCATACTTGAATTTACTCTTTTGCCATTACTTAATATGTTAGCTAATAACTAAAAGAGAATTATTTTGTCCCATTTTAAAAAGTATACATTAAGTTATAAATAACACCTTTAAGGCTACTTTAGCCTGTAACAAAAATTTATGTCTTCCAATCTTGTAATAGTATATTTAGCCCTATCAGTTTTTGCTTAAAATGTTAATGAGTATTTCTTTTGCTTCTGAATTCTCTCGCTATAGCCTCTGGAGGCAGATAGAAAATTTGAATCAAAGCCAACCCACTCTGTTGCTGTTCTATGAAATTCCATGCCTGGTGTATCTGTCAGCTGTAGAAATTATCAGTTCTAATGGGAAATTATTTAGCCCTTCTTGTATGAGAGAAGTATATGGATAGGATGCAAGAATTCAGCTTTTATGTATCATCAAAGCAGGGCAAGTTAGGAAGCAAAAGTACAGTTCTGAATCACAAAACTTACAGACTGACCTGACTGGCACCAACACAGAAAGGACAAAGCATCAAGCGCAAGCTGCAATGCCCATTTCATCCCTAGACCAGCACAGTGGTACACAGCAAAAGTGCATTTGTTACCAATAGTTGTTTTACTTTTTTCGTCAAATGTTCTCTAAAACAATCCTATTCCCACCATCAGTCAAACAGCCAGATACTTCCAAGTCTGACTACAGTACCCTAGGGCAAAAGTCAAAATTGCTGAGAAATATAATTACTACTCTGTTACTTAAGCACAGCTGCCTCATTAAAGAACTTGGTGAAAGATTGCAGATAAGAGTGTCAGTGCATAAATTAAAGAGACTCAGAAATTTGTTGTATTTCTGAAAATAAATCTATTCAGACAATGTTTTGTGATCTGCATTCTAACATTGCTCCTCTGTTTCTTTTTGGTAACTTATTTAAGTATCTATCACTACAGGACTGGTTGCCCCTAAGTGTGATCCTCAATTAAAACAAAATTAAATTACATTTAATTATCACAGAATTAAAAAAAAAAACAACAACAAAAAACCAAAAAAACCCCCCACAAAAAAACTGCTACTTAGACTAAAACCAGATTGGTTCTGTATAAGTTATTTCTTCTTAGCCCCTTAAGACCTAACTCAAGTTCCACTGAACAATCAGTGAAAGGACCCTCATTGATTTAAATGGGCTTTGGATAAAGGTTTTTCTATGTTATTTCCACGTTTCCTCCATGTAGAACACCATCTTTTAACTTCTGTAAATATTTTTTAATAATTAATTTACTATAACAGAAAAATATTTGCTGCCTTTTCATGGTTTATGCAAGTTATCTGGTTATCTTTTTTTTCCTCTCAAAAGCCTTGATGGCTTTTGGTATCTTTTTTACACAATTTTGTTAAAACTCAATATATTTTAATCCAATAAAAATACTTTTTTCTGACTGACTTCCAAATAATAAAGTTGTAAGGACCTGAATATTAGCAACTTTGTCTAAGTAACGGTTAATGTTCATTGGAATTCTACTGATGTTCTTTCATGTTTCCATGCACCAAGAAAATTTAAGCAGATAACACTGAAGTAAACTTCCTTTCTCTTGCAGCTGCAAACTTATTTTAGAATTTTACTCTGCATATGAAATGTATCATTGAAATGCATTCAGCGAGGAGGAATCTATTTAACTCACCAAAGGCTTTTCAAACAGCCATCTTCCATTTAACCCTGAAAAACCATGATGAAAGAAATTTTAGTTCTGCAAAGAGCAATTATTTTAAAAAGTTTATAGGCAATCCTGGCCCACCAGATAATGAGAAAATATTAAGTGTGTATGTGTGTGTAGCTGGGTGGGTGTGTGGGTGTCTAAAGGTAGAAAGTGTATTAAAAAATACAGGCTTAGATTGCTCAAAAATACAGTGCACAATATATCTCAGCGAGATAGTCTTAACTGGTACACTGATGAACAAAATACATTTACAAATTTTTCAGAATATTTCTCTTAATTGGAATGGAATCGCTCACATGATAATTACATTGTGATTTAATAAAATGCTAGTTTAAAGTTAGATAAATGTGTTACTTAAACTGCAAAAAGTCAACTAGTGTAAGTAGATCACGTTTTATTAGTTTTCCGGTAATTTTATCAATTTTATTTGCAAAACCTATTAATAAATTTGATGTACATCCACAGACCTCTCACATCTTTTTACAGTTGTTAAATTTGAAAATCTGCTATAAAACCAAAATAAATGCAGACAAGCAAAATAGTTAATTGCATTTCTTACATATTAATGGGATGATTCACTTGTAAAGAAAATATTAGATTGACAGAGATCTAAATACAGTCTTGTTGCAGGATCATCTGTAGTTGCATGAAATTGATGAAAGGGCCTTTTTAGTAACTGGTCTTGTAAACCAGTGTTACCTAATCTCAGCTATGTGTTTCTATGTAATTTCCTACACAAATAATTAAACTATTTGCATGATTGTTTTAAGGAGGATAGTGCAATTGCATTGAAGATACTTTAACAATTCCATGGCATTAGCAAAAGTCATGCCATTTGGGAATTTTTCTTCCATGTGGCTGTGGAAATGAAATTAATGGCCCAGTCAATTCTATTTACAATATGTAAACCTATGTCTTTGCTGTTCTGTTCCAAATCCATGTGTTCTGTTAGAATTTCAGCATAATTTTCATTTCCATGGCTAAAGATCTATTTGTTGTTGTCTGGTGGCAATTGATATAATACTGTATCATGGAAAGTATAATTACACTTACTATATATTTTTTTACTAAAATCTAATTCTGTTAATTCAAATTGAGAAAATAATTATCTGTTAGTGTTACATGAATTAGTCTGTTCCATTAACTGACTCCTGGTTTCCCAACTATAAACCTAAGGTTATGGTTCCTATTAACAAACCCCACCTAATTCTTTGAAGTCCAATTCAGAAAAATTTAACAGTTTTGCTGTTAACAGAGATCAAGAAAATACTGCTCAGTTCAGTGTTTCCCTTGCTTAATAATTTTCATGTGTGGGCATCCATTTCAGGAAATAAAATAGGGGCTAGGTGGAAAATTTAATGCCAATATTTTTCCCTGAGTTTTCCTTGATTTGGTCAGCTTGCCAAATCTTGCTGCTTTGTAAGGTTATTTTATTAGTCAATAGGTACAATATAAGCCTACCATGGCTGCCAGCAAAAACCAGCTTGAATGCTATAGCATTATCTGGTAGCCTGTACTGCAAAAATTACTAACACATTTTTAGAAAGGAATATATTTATCACATTTTCTCCCTTTTATCCTTCTTCCCTTTTCCACACTGATCAGATTATCTGCATCTCTGAAAATGTACAGTTCCAGAACAAAAAAATTTCCAAGAGCTGCTGTGTACTTGCTCCTTTTTTTTTTCAAGACTTATTTTATCAATAAATTTCCTTTTTCCTTCCTCTGCTGAACTTTTTGCGTTCCTTTGATTGAGCAAATTCGTGGCTTGCACAGAAACCTTTGGAGTTGTTAAATTTTATTTATTATGGGAAAATCCCAGTACCCAGTAAATGCAAAGATAGGAGTTAATTTTCTATTAATAAAACTGCAAGAACTATTTAGACAACTTTTTGACCATAGTCTACCCTAAAAAATGTTTGGGTATGGAAATATGAACACAATGACATCTTCATGCTGTTTCTGTGGCAAACACCTAAAAAAAATATTTTATCTGTTTCCATTCAAATTGTTATGCAAGCCTCCTTATTTGTGTTTTGGTCTTATGAAAGGTATTTTTCTCACTGGTGGTAAACAACCACAAAACCCATTTGAGAGATATTTACTGGATTTTTTAATTTGAAGCACTTTTCCCACCAGTGAAATAATCCAATTTCTGGAGATTTTATAGTTTGTTTTTTTTTTAATGAATGATTTGTTTTATTCTCATTTTGGGTGGGGTTTAATGGTTACAAATAGATGGCACGTGCAACTTCTTGATTCTTGATTCTGAGTCTGACAGAACAAATCTGGAGAGTTTCCAGCAATAAATGCATTGTCTTTATTTATCCCTAAGCTTTAACTTGTTATTTAGTTTTCTGAGAGTTTAAGTCGCTTTTCCCATTCTCTTTTTTAGTTTTTTCTAAATTGTTCATGGTTTCACTCCTACTGCACTTTGTGAAAATATTTTTCTTTCCTTTATACTGACTTTCACTTTTATCTCTACAGTTGCACTTCAGTTGTACTTCTTTGAGCACACAGCATGAATCTTAGAGTGTGTCCTGTCTCTTCCAGCACTATGCAGAACATCAGAATTTCAGCAAAGATGAGAAATCCTCTAAGAGAATTGGTGTCAACTGCTTCCCTAAAACCTTAATAATTTCTTGGCTCCCCAAGACTACTTTTGTCTGGGCAGGGCTGTTTATTGCTTTATAGCTATCTTTAAGGACATAACTGAAAAAGCTCTTATCCCTTCTCATAAAACTGATCCCTCTTATCCCTTCTCATAAAATTGATCCAATGCAAAGAATCCATATATGGTTAATAACATTCATTACTGTATCTTTGGACCTCTGGCCTTGCAGATTTTTAGGTGATCGGTTATCAACTGAGCATATGATGTCTGTGATACTCTCAGAGAAACTTCCTAATCTTCTGTTTCTTGGTGCAGCAGTGCTTTCTAGTTTCTATAAAAAGAAGCCATCTATCTGCACAAGGAGAACCATCCACTTGAGTAGTCACTTCAACTCCAGTTTCACTGTCTCTAATCTGTTTTTTATGACAGATCTGAGTCACCTGTTGGGAAGAATTCATACACATAAAACATTACTGGATTGCTGGGCAGGTTATTCTGCAGAGTGCCCAGCAGTTCAGCTTCTGCTCTCACTGCCAAGGCAGTGTATTGGACATGAAGTACTAGGCACATACTGCTCTGCCATTCCCAAAGATCCACGTTCTGCACTTTAGATAGAGTCAGAGAGATTGTTCCTTTCATGTAATATTACCCAGAAGAAATGCAGGCATGGGTTAACATTTCTCCAAGTTAGTGGAGCAAACCTTCAGATCAATGCACTTTGGTAGCACTCCACAGGGAAGGAGTAACTCGTTGATGAAGGGATTTTGTAGTTTCTAGATTAGACACTTCCTGGGGCCTCTTATTTCATTGAAATATGAACCATAAGTCTAACTGGTCTACATTCCTATAAATGTCTGGATGAATATTAATGGGAATTTGGTCTGTGTAAAATCTGTCAGCTTTGCAGACGCATCCAGCAATGGGAAATCATAGTTAAATTCTAAAATTAATCAGAAAAAGACCAATGAGTAGCCATTGGAATAAAATTAAGACAGCAGCACATTAATGTGCCTTCAGCCTTCATAAAGGTAGCTCCTCTTACACTGTGCTCCAGCTTTTACAATTACTTTGTTCACACATTCTTTGGCATGTGATACATAAAAACATACATCCTGGTTGTATACTCAATAATACTTTAACATGAAGTTAAGAAAGAACATTGTCCATTCTTTGTGAACGCTTACTTTTAGCTAGCAGCATTATTTAAGATAAAAACATGGTTACCATGGCTTTATTGGAGTGGCCTCCTCCTTGGAACTCAATGGTTCCAAAAGCGTCCGTCGGGCTGAGCTGTGTGTGCTTGCTGATGGACCACTTCTCCGACTGGATGTCATTGCGAGCAAGCCTGGTTTCATTTTTCTCATTCTGAGTAATGGAGGTGCTTGGAGGCTGTCCAATGTGTTGACCTGTCAGACGCCCACAGCAACACCTATGACATTAAACAAACACAAAACCTGAGTCACGTGCATGTATAAGCTGGACAAGGAAACAAGCTACAAAAAGAACCCAACCCATTTTCAACTCTGCTGATTCCTTTCCTGAAGCCTTTATGTATGGAAACAACAAAGTATATATATTACCTTTTTTCCTTGTGTCTTGTTTACTTTCATTTCTCCTGTATTTCAAAAAATCATGCTTCTAAATATGTACAAAATGAAGTCAAAGAACATATCTTTTCTTCAAGTAACATCAAGACAAGTATTTAGCTTTTGCATGGATTAGCACAAATTTTAAATTGCTAGTTTAATGCATCTATTTGCTTTTGACAGTGTTGTGTGTCATGCATCCAATTTAGGTGAATATTCAGTGTGCTGAACATTGAGCTAAGAAGATAAGGAAATTAAACATGGATGGTGACCCATCTTTTTTCTTCTGAAATAAGTTTTGAAATGTAAACAAATAGTTCCAATAGGAATCCATCACTCCAGATGTAATTCAACCACCTTCCAAACAAATAAGTTTACAAAATATTTATATTTGGATCCATTCTAAGTATACATATATCGAGACTTCTTTTTTAGCCAACCTTCATTTTTCATATACATAACATGCAATTACCTATGAGGGTCTTTGGTGCTGGGTATGATATGAACACATTCTCTCTTGTAAAATGCTCTTTCTATCCATGATTTCTGTGCCTGAAAAAGAGAAAGGAAATGCCTTGAGCACTGTTTTCTTATTATATACAACTTATAATACAACTGTATTAACAGAATTTAAACAGAAGAGGGAATTTCACTGACTCATCAGATACGCAGTGCATATTTTACAGAGGGCAAATATTCCATTAGAACTATGGTTCCGTTCTAGAGTTAAGCACCCAATACAAGATTTTAATATTTTTTTCTTATTCACTAGCCAGATGACCTTGATGCTGTTACCATATTCTCACAACAGAGGTAGAACTCTGGAGAATTATTAACTCAAACTCCAAACCTTTCTGCATGGTAGAAAAGCCCCTACACTTATTCACTAAAAACACCTCTGTTTCCACATCAGTGCTACAACTAAGCCAGCTCTAACTAAAAAAAACCTATAACCAAACAACAAAATTACTGAAACATTTTTACACAAACACTGAGAGTCGTGTTTAACACAGAGGCAGAAACTACAGTTTCTATGTGGTCACATTGATTAAAGAGAAAAAAAGAAAGGAAATAAATAAAAAAAAGGAAGATCTGTTCCTGAAACAAGACACAAAAAAATTTAATACATTGAGTCAGATGATTGGCAAGTAGCCTCTAAAATAGTAGCTATGGTTGTTCCTAACACTCAAGATCATCTATCACATATTCACATAAAAGCAGGAAATTTCCTGCAACATAGTCTTAATTGTCAGATACACAAAAAGTCTTTTCAAACATAGGGATGAGTAGGAAAGAAAACGTGAAAATAGAAGAACAAACACAAAACAGGAAAGGAGAGAATTTCAGAGTTATTAAGTATTTTAAATTATTTATTAATTTATAATTATCTAGGGAATAAAATTTAAATAAAATGTAATAATTTTTAATTATCTAGGGAATCCTCACTCCATATAATATGAGTTCTGGCAAGCTCTCTAAAGCTTGAGCTCTATTATTTCACTTAATAAGGAGAGGAGTTGAAGATTTCCTTTGAACATTCATTTAAAACAGATCAACTTAAGACGTTTAAATAATAAAATTACCAACTTAACTGCACAGCATAAACAGAACTATAAACTATGAACTATGACAAAATTGTCTGAGAATTAAGTAAGCATTAAGTAAACGAACAATTTAAAGGAAATATGAGTATTTTGCGTCTGTGAAAGGAGAGCTTTTGAAATTGCCTTTGTAGCTAACTGATGTTACTTTTTACTATGCAAAGATATAAAAGTAATACCTACGTATTACTTTCACTAACTAACGTTACATCACTAATGTTACCTTCTTGTCAACTCTATCTGTATCCTGTTTTCTATGTTTAAAACCAGAGTCCTCTGCTTCTGAAATATGTGAAAATTACTGCGAACTAAAGAAATTTCTTGGAGTCTGTAAATGTCACTAGCACAAACTATAAAACAACATCACAAGAATTTCTAGCTACATCTACAATTTACCAGTACCAGTATATAGAATTCAGTCCTTTGCTTTTTATAGAGAACATAATTCCTTGCTGGATCTAGTGGCTACTGGTGCTATTTAGCAGTATTTTATCTTAGGTGTCCTTGCATTTTTATTTGAAAAATCTGCTACAATTCATATTTTGTAGGAATAGCAGATACCTAGCATCATTTTTGCACTTTTACATTAAAAAAAAACCCAAAAAAACAACAAAACAAAACAACCAAAACAAAAACAGAAAACCCTATTTAAACTATTAAATAAAACTGTATTTGACTGCTTTTTCTCATGGTAGCAAACAGAAGGTTAATGTATCATAGAAGGAACAAAACAAAACAAAAACAGAAAACCCTATTTAAACTATTAAATAAAATTGTATTTGACTGCTTTTTCTCATGGTAGCAAACAGAAGGTTAATGTATCATAGAAGGATGGGCAAGATATGTTTTGTTTAAACAAAGTATAGTTAAACAGAAATTCTGAATGCTAAAAGATTTATATTTCACCTAAGAAAGATTTCCTTGAGATTTAATTTATATAACTTCGAAATATCCTTTATTAAATATATTGCTATTTCCATCCTTTTCTGCAAACAATTAAGTTAAATTTATCTTAAGTTCCAGTACAAAAAGGTGCCATAACAGGTACTTCGCTGAAATTTTTTCACTAGATATAAAAACAAGCTTTAAAACCCACAAAACTGGCATTTAAAATTTGTTTTCCTACTCTTTCCCATATTGTTTTTGCAAGTGGAAAAGTAAAAGAGCTATATTAAAGAAAAATTAATAACAAAAATCATAGTTTATATTTTAATTTTCATCACACTTCTTCAAAGGTAATATTGTATAAATAGTAGTCAGGTTTAAAATCTATATTCATATTAGGAGAAGATACTTTCCAGCTTTTAGACTGCAAACAATGTACTCTCCTACACGGCAGAGTTGTGATGGCAAAATATGTGATTTACTAATCTCGTAATTCCTTGTCCTTCCAAATTTAAAAGAAAGCATCTGGTTGCACTGCCCCATGCCAATTATCTTTCTGCATCAGATACAATTTGCAATGACCGAAAAAGCTAGAATATCATAAGATATTATATTAATATACAATAAATAAATATATAATAAATTATGCTACTTCCTGTAGAGTTTTCATAACAGAATACCTTCAGGAAATCAACAAATTCATAACTAAACTGTCTGCATTACAGTCTAACTTATAAGGCAAATTAGTGAAGTAATAAAAAGTTTAGAAGACTATCAAAGTATTTTTAAGACTAGTAGAGCAGGAAGCTTATCTTCTCTTTCTTTTAAAATACTCCTTCAGTAATGGCTAATCAGACAATTTAAGTCAACAGTGAATTCATAAAGTACGTGTCATACTTGAATTCAGTTTATTGATAGTTTAACAATCTGGGTAAGCCTCTCTCTTTATGAACCTCACTGCAAAATCCCACCAAGAAAGTTTTCTTTCTCTCTTTCCCTTACCTGAGCATGGGATTTGGCGTTTAAGGCTGTCCCGGAGCCAGCCCTGCTGCCCGCGTTTCGCTGCGGCTCGCCTTTGCTAGCGGCACGTTCGTGCCCGGGCCCTGCGCAAGGCGCTCTCGCCGCCCGAGGCGCTCAGACGTGGGAGACAGCAGAGCCCTTGCACCCATTAGCTGCTTGGAATGTGCTGCTGTGGGATTAGCCTTGTTAAGGGTTCAGTGGGCACTCACCCATGGCCCCACAGCACCGCTTGGTTTGAACATCTAATCTGACGCCAAAAGAAAAACAAATCCCTTGAGAGCTTGGATTTAACTGGCACAAGCCTTGATGGGCTTTTTGTCTCCTCTCTTTTTTGCCCCTGAGAAAGTGAGCTCGTTAAAGTGTGATAAGATGCTCTGAGTTCTTAAGTTTGACTCAGGAAAACCAATCCATCAAAAGAAACACTGTAATAAGCTGGAAAGAGCTTGAGAACACAGCAGAAACTGTTAAGCTCCAAAGAATGAACGCAGTGTGTTTATTGGGCAACTGTGAGAAACCTATACACAGCTGAAATATATTGCAAATAATCAACAATAGCATTTTTCCAAAGTAACTGGGGTTTTGTCACTGTTTCCCACCAAAATTGCTGTACTGTAATGCATATAACTTTTCATAAATTCAAACTTTTGTGCTTCAGAAACAAGCAGCTGCATTGTTTTCATCATAATTAAAAGTTGGTAATTTTGAACAAAAGCAGAATATTTACAAATTTGGGGACTACTTCTATACTCTGCCTTCTCGATAATAACATAGATGAAGAATGTTTTCATATGAACAACACCTCAATTTTTATTTTAGTACCTAGGAATAAAATAGCTTTAGTTACTTACTTCAAAAGTTTTCAACACATAAATTATTTTGACTCAGTCCCCACCACCATGTTTGCATTAGCCCCTATCTACTCCTACATAGGCCTATATCCCTTCCTTTCCTTAAGAGTGTACCTATTGCATAAACAATATTCTGTCCACCCTTGGTACTGATGAATATACAAGCACTAAACTGTTTTGTATGTGCATTAGCTCTGATGGGCCAGACTGGGCAAGACTGAAAATTACAACTTTTAAACCATCACACAAGTGGAGAAGCTTCTGCTAGGCTGGCTAATCCATGAGATTGCTTTTGTCTCTTGGTTCCCTAAGTTTTTGTGTAAAATACATACATGTATTTTGTGAATATTAATGTATATATTAAGAATGTACATACACATACTCTCTGTGTGTACACACACACACAAACACACACACACACACACAAACACACATTCTTTTCCAGCAAACTGGAAAAGATCTGTGAGGTTTCTGAACCAGAGATTGTATGCTTATCTTGTCAGATCTCTTAAACATAGGATCAGACAAAAGATGGTCTGTGGGGAATGACAAAGGCGAAGCTGGAGCCAGGAAAGCAGCTAGTAAACATTTCAGTGAGGTAAAGAATATGGTGGGGAGTCAGCAAGTAAAGACAGCTTGCTTTTTATCACTAGGGAATTTGGTTTGGTTGAGAGGGTGGATAAAAAGTGAGGCACAGAAAGGAAAGACCTCATGACTGAGATAACTGGTTAAAAACCTCAAGTGACTTTGAAGTGGAAAAAGCTGTATCTTCTGTCTTAAGACATCAATAAAAGAAACAATGGTTATATTAATTCCCATATGGCACCTAGTGGCACTAGGACATTTTATAGATAGGGACTTCAGAGTTGGCATATATAACTCATGCTAAGGTAATTACAACTGTTTTTGCTCATTTAAAGTTGTCTTAACTTAGGACTGTGTGGCAATGAAACTACCAGCGCCATACATATTTATATTTTTTGAGGAGTAATAAAGAAAGAGCCAGTATATAGAGACAGGTATGTGTTTCAATATGGTACAATTGCAAAATAGAGCTTTTGGAGGTGGACGCTGTCCATTTAATGACAAAACCATACATATTCTTTAAATCTTCCACCCACCTCACTGTTTATGAAACAAAGTATTCAAAGTTAGCAATGAACTTAGTACTGATTGCTCATGGGGCATTAGGAGAAAT